TTGTTTAATTGTTTATGCTGAGCACAGTGCGGCTCTTTTGTGGACATTTTTGATAGATTTCACTCAGTTGCTTTACTTGAACAAATAAATCTACAAAGTGTATTTACCCTCTGAAAATGACAGGTTTCAATGATATGCGGAGTAAGATACAAACATGTATATTGGCTGAAAGACACAGAAATGTAAAAAGCAGCTACCTGGAGTCACCTTTGGATTTCATTTCAGCAATTAGTCGCTTTGTTTTCTCACTTGTTAGGAATTACAGTCAATTTGATGAATCTGAAATAAAAATTAGCCGCCTTGGAAGAATCTCTCTTATATTTGGTTATTTACGTTCTCTAGCGAAAGGCATAATTTGCAGAAATTTTTATTTAATGAAAGAATTGAAATGTTTTCTTTGCGTAAATATATAATTCAGGAGAATAGCAGAAAAATAGTTAGATCAATGCTGTGGTGCAGTGAAAGCGATGATCAGAATGTAGAACAGGGATTGCAGCAACATAAAAAATGCTGAAGTCATTTCTGGTGAGGACTGGATATACGTTCAACATGGAACAATGCTCTCCCTTGATGTGCATCTCTAGAATGAGGGCTGCTTTAGTCCTGGACCTCAGGATCTAATCCCCTACATGTTATAGGTGTCTCCCTGCCTTCAAACATCGGACCAAAATAGTTAATTAAAAGGCCTCTGCAGACTTTGGTGGTTGCTGAGGCAGGAATGCAAATATTTGATTCAGGTATGCTGGAGCAGAGAAACCTCTAAACATGAGGAAAGGTGATCCCTATGGACTGGGGTTTAAACATCCCTGGACTCAGGAGGAAAGTTGCAGCAAAAAAGGATCTTTCCTCCCCACGCTCTCTTCTTGGACAGGAGGGTTAGGGCTGCTGGTGTTGGCCTGACAGTTTGAAGCGCTCTGCTGTGTTTTACTGCTCAGCTTCATGTGCTTGGAGAAGTTTCGTACTTTATCCCTTCTTGTTGTGATTTACTCCTGAGTATGGCTGCAGATGTTTTGGATTGGTCAGGCAATGAGTGTGGAGCAGAGTTAGTTGGCTGTCCGCCTCTACGATGGGGGCCTTTGGTGCAATGGCTGCTGCTGCCGGGTATTGCTTGGTGGATTGTTTGATCTTGCCTTAGTGTGGGGTTAATGAGTCTGCATGGCGAGTCCTGGACCCCCTTGGGTCTTGGGATTCTAGACCCCTGACGAATCTACTCAGGTGTTGCCCGCTGTGGGGACAGCCCCCATTGCCGTAGCCTCCTGACGCATCTGCACTGCAGCCGCTGCAAAATTTCCCTGTAGCTCTTCTCCACTCTTCTCTCGGCCTCTGGCTTCTGACGACCACTGTTGGATGCAGAGCTTTACTGATGCACAGATGTTCTGATAAACTCTAAATTCAGCAGCAGAGGAAGCATTAAACATTTTGTAAAAAAAAGAATCATTCTGAAATATTCAGTGATGTTTTTTTTTTTGTTATATGCGCTGATTGTTTTTACCCATGATACTTTTTTTGTTCTGTTTATAGACTTCTATTCTTTTTTCCCTCCATTACTATCTCCTTATCTCCCTTTAAACTTTTTGCCTCACCTCCTCTTTCACCGTTATCTTATTCAATATTATTTGAAATAAACAAATAATAATATATGTTCTTTAATTAAATATAAATATAACAGTTATAGTAAAAGCTGTAATAGAATAGAATAAAAAAATCCCTTTATTGTCCCACAATGGGGAAAATCTGGTGTTTACAGCGGCCAAAAAATAATTATAGAAAAAAATGGTCACACAAATTTTAACCTTAGAAAAATGTATAATAATAACATAATAATGAAGAGTTAAAAGATAAACAATAAAATACTGTACTGTAAAGTGTTTTAGCATTATAAAAAAATGTGCACCTGGAGAATACATTTTTACAGTAATTGATAATTGTAAATAGCATCAACATCAGAGATGTCTGAAAAACCATGTTATTTAACTAAGATAGAAATTGTGCAAAATCTGCTTTAATGTAACAACTTACTGAGGTTGATGGGAACAACCTAAAAAATGCTCCTCTTGTAAAAGTAACTATTGGGCTTCATTTTGTTACCAAGGTAACCATTAAACTTCAAACCTTAGTGCACAGAGAATGTCAAACTTTATTTTCACCTACACCCACATACTGATAATAATAAAATAATAAAAATCAAGATAACATGTTAAAACATATTTTTGAAACTTATTTAAATAAATTATATTACAAACTTTTTGAATCACAAAGCAACGAATTTGGATTATACATCACCCTTTGTTATGGTTTTCCCCTTTTGGAATTTGAGTTTTGAGGTTTCAGTATCTGTCATTCTGTTTTGTTGATCTTTGGTTTATTTTTCATTTTGTGTTATATTTAAGCAGCCATTAGTTACTCTCTGTTGCCCCCTTTTTCCAGTTTTTTCACCAGGCTCCCTTCTAGTCACTTCTATCCACACCTGCTCCATATCACCTGATTAATCCAGTCCTTGTTCTGTCTCCCATATATACTCCTCCTGTGCAGTTCTTCAGGGCTGGTTTCTTGTCTTCGCTTGGCTCCTGGAGTGTGTTTTGTCCTGTTTTCATTTTGGTTTCCTGTTTCTTGATTATTGAATTTGGTTTCTGTTCCCTGCAAGAACTCATCTGGGCCTCCCTCATGTTTGCATTTGGGTCCTCAACCTCGACCTGACACCGTCGCCCTGCTGTTTTACCAGATTGAAGACTAAACATATTTGCCTTTAAGACAAGCCAAGTATATTAGCATTATCAGCTTGAATTTTAGAATCATATTTAAAAAGAAAAGACAATTGTTCCTATCATATCCAGGTATTTGAAAGTTTTTTTTTTCCACCATAGCAGCAAGTTAAACCTTTAGTCTTCTACATTTTATCCAGCTGCATTTTAGCTGGATCAGTGCCACGAACAGTGAGTGCCTCGGATCACAGTTAACTGACTTCTTCAAGGTCTTAGCCATCTTAAGATGAAAGGTTGCGCTGTGTTATTTCTTCAGTTTTCCCGCACAGTCTGACAATGGCCTGGGGGCTCCGTTTGTGTTTCAGGTTAAGCGAGTTGCACCTGAAGTCAAGCAAAGGCTTCAGTGTTTAAAAAATAAAGTTCTTGGTAGAAAATGAGCTGATGGGATTTCCTCTAAAAACAACTAATTATAGTCTGCTGTGTTGTTAAACTCCCCGTGGTTTTATGGAGAAAGGGGGGTGCAATTATGACCTTCCCAATTTTTCTAAAAATCATCACGTCTGTCTTTTCCAACCTGTAATCGTCATTCATCATCATTCATTCCTCTCAATTACAACAACTGTTATTTTTTTTACATTATTTTATTGTATAGGACTTTATATTCACTCGGAGTTTCCTAATGAGGATTAACCAACCCAAAAACTTCAAAGACTCTAGAAATGTTTCAAATAGAGCGTTGGTGTCATATGTCCATTATAACTTTTTCCTAATAGTTGACATAATGTTCTCTGGCTTTTAAACCAAGGAGGAGAAATCAAAGGCTCATAAAGCTCAAGAGTAAAGGAAACAACCTCTGGAAATATATTTATACTACAGAGAAGAACAAATGCAACCATTCAGGAATGCAAAGGAGAGCAAATTAATCTTTAAAAAAACTGCACAACCATCCTTTACCTCAAATGTCTTTCTCACTCACCTTAAAATAAGCCTTGAAATAAATCAAATTTTTCTCATCCTTAAGAGAACACAAATAAACTTTGTTATATTTAAGTTTTGTGACCTTTAACTCTGCTGTCAGTTTATTGGGTCATTAAGATACAGGACCTTAGATTAGCAGAAATATCTCTGTAAAGTTTTTCTTGAATTTAGATAAACTAATTTTTTCGGGGGGAAAAAAATACACTTTAAAACCCTGTAACAAATTATACAGGTGTAATAAGAGCAGAGGACATTATAGAAGAATAAATGTAGACAATGAATTAATACAGAAAATTAGTCTGTAGTATAATGGAACTAGTTCTGTGATTACAGTAGTAGCCAATAAAAATTCCCTTTCCTTGACGGGCCCTTGTCCCTGGCTGGTCCCCTACAGTTCCTTTTTAAACATCAATCTTTGTGCTAAAATATTCTTTTTGTCATTATTTATGGATATTAAGATCTAAAGAGAAGCATCATGTTCTGGTCAGACCCTGTAATTCAGCGAAAAGGTGGAGCCAGAGTAAAAATAATGCACGTCCAGTAGAAGGCCAGTGAATTGAAGTTGGAGGAGATTTTGCTGGGAGTCGCAGGGGAGTAGGCTGCGTTTGACTGGGAAGGGCCATTTTGAATGGCTGAAACTGTATAAAATTTAAAATCTTCCTAATTATTATTATTCCTCCATGTTAGATGTGTGTTTACAGGAAATTAACATTTGGACTAAACCTTTAGACAATCCATAATCTTGTTGGGCTGTTATAATATTGAACCAACATGGATATTTGCACTTGTTTGGTTTTTCAAGACAGAATAAATCTGCCTTTTGATTATACAGACTTAGTTTAAAAATATAAGAGTTTATATTTTATGATTGAAAAATATATATATATAAATACCCTGATAAATAGTGGCCCTGATGCAAATTGATCTGTAAACATTTTCTTTTAATAATTACAATCACCAGGATATGCACTTTCTCTCTAACATGCCCAGCTAAAGATTATTTTACCAATTCCATTCTAATCTTCCCAACCAGTTTCCATTTTTTCATTTAAAAAAGATTAGGAGAAATATAGTAAATAACATAGTTATTTATAATAGTAATGTTAGAAATATGTTATATTTCATTATATTTCTATATTAGGTGTCCAATAGTTCTACTTCTTTCTCTAATATCGGTTGTTAGAGCTGCTCTAAAACCTTCACATATAACTGTTAAAGGGGTAAAATGATTAGCTGCTGTCTGTGACTTGACATAAAAGCCAAGCTGATATAGTTAACAATAAAACTAAGTGTTTTTCTGTTTGTGTGTTTTTTCATTAGGTGCAGGCGATGTCGTGGGTTTCGTTTGTGGGTTCAGGGTGCAGGATGACGGCTGCTAAGCTCCTCGTTCCTTTCCTTGTTCTCCAATCATTTTGTGAAGGTGAGTCTTTTTTTTTTTTCTTTAAACAGTGACTAAATGTAAAGCCTGAAAGATTGGAGTTTAATTTTTATCAGATTTGAAGCTACATGAAAGGTATTTAGGCTGCATAATTTCCACCCTGATCGATGTCTGTTTGTGCTACATTCTGAAGTCTTCATATTCCCTCTGCAGAGAGCTGAAGGTGATGCTTTCATTTAAAAGTTCTGTTTTTTATTTGTGAAAATCTGTGTATTTAGATTTTAATCATAAAAAAACAAAACAGAAAAAAACTCACTAAAATATTTGCATAATCTATGGTTGATAAAAAAAAAGGAAAGCTATGAATTACAGATTACCTATATCTGGCTTTGGAAGAAACAAATTAAGTCAAGGTTGATCACAAAACTTTAAAGTGTTGCTACTGAATTTATTTGTAGCAACAAGTGAAAACCCAGAAAATGTTTAGCTGTACAAACAACTACCTCATAACAGGTATTTTACAGTTTTTCCAGATTGCTGTGTTTTTACATTATGACAAAAAAGAGAAAAACTATAATTCCTGATAATTGGCACAGAACATTTGGTAAAAAGTAGTTTATTAATGGATTTTTGTTTTACTAAGGCTGGACATACATTGTACGATATTTTCAATAGTTGTTCTCAGCTACAGCTCAAACTGTACAATGCTCAGGATGTATATTCTTACACTACGGCCCTGATGCTCTGATGCGATCTTCCTGCTCACTGCACATCCAAAATGTCGGACACGTCGTGTAGAAGCAGTTTTATTGTCTTATATCAGATCAGAATCAGAATATATCCTTGCACATGGCCCTGTACTTCTCTGCTGCCAAGCAAGTACAGGGCCATGTGCAAGGATATATTCTGATTTCTGATTCTGATCTGATATAAGACAATAAAACTGCTTCTACAGTCGGACGCCAAGAGATGCTGCTGGTCAGATTCGTCAATCTGGAAAAACAAGAACTCCCTTATTTGCATATTTGCAGCACGTGAAGTTCAGGCAAATCAGCTCATAGTCGTTCGTAGCTCTCCTTCCTGAGAGGCTAATCGCCCCTCCTTACCCCCTCTACATTACGTGACTCAGAAAGAGGCTGAAACTCGGCCCGATCCCAAAAAAAATTCACGACTGGAGAATTGGCCCAAAAAGCGCTAAAACGCGCAGTGTATGTCCATGTAGAAAAAATGGCAAATTTCCTTGAATCAATTCAATTCAATTCAGTTTATTTATATAGCGCCAATTCACAACACATGTCATCTTTAAGGCGCTTTCCAGTTCACCAGATCATACAGTCAAATTGATTCAAAGTTTTCTATCTAAGGAAAACCAGTTGATTGCATCGACTCATTGACTCTTCAGCAATCCCTCACACCAAGCATGCTTGTAGCGACAGTGGAGAGGAAAAACTCCCTTTAAACAGAAACCTCCAGCAGAACCAGGCTCAGTGTGAGCGGCCATCTGCTGAGGCCGACTGGGGTTCAAGGAGACAGAAGCAGACATAGAAAAAGAAGCATAGATACAAAAGGCAGCTGTCAACCAGCTCCACAGGCGGCCCCGTCCAGAATTCACACAGCCAGGCAGACGAGCTCCGAGCCAGCTCCCACAACAGAGGATAAAGAGAGCACATCCAGTTAGTCACAGTCAGAGAGACAGGACCACACTGAAAAACAGGTCAGGTTCAAACATCTAGAAACAAAGGTGTTGATGGCAGCAGCACAGCTGATATTTCTCTCCAGGATGGAGTCACAGCCAGACAGGAACAGACCAGATGAAGCTACTATGAGAAAAAGCAGAGAGAGCAGAACGTTAGAGATATTAATATTATTATATTATAGAATACTAAGTGTTAGATTTAAAAAATCATAGCTTTTCGTTTGCACCTTTACTGTTTTTAACTCATTAACTTGTTTGTTTGCAGGAAGCTACAGCCTCTGTTAGTCAATGTGTTTATTTAGTGATTAAATGTGTAAATAGGTGTGTAATACTCATACATGTTGGTTTGTCTACCTATTGACATTATCTGGATAATCTACGCACATATCTTGGGTTTTATTAGGATGTGTTAGGTCTTTCCTCCCTGGTCTTTATCTCTCTCTTACCGGCTTCCTTCATCAAGCTCATTAGCACACTGACCTTGTGCTTGCTTCAAGCATTGCCTCTCTGATCCACCAAATTAGATTGATGATCACTGTTGTGGTTATTTTTTTTTTTTTTGCTGTAATCAATCTGCATTTCTGCTTTTTAAACAATGCTGACTCACTGTAATTAAAGAACAGGTATAGAAACAAGTCAATTAACCCTTTTCCTCACCACCCTGCAGTCAATAAGGCATAGACCATGTGCCGGAACGCAGGAGCCCGACTGACAAGCCAGAGATGAGCATCTTATTCCGCTCATGAGGGAACATGACAGCAGGAAAACCTCCTGCTTTGAAAGCAGAGAATCAGTCACTCGAGCATTCTCACATCAAACAGTTTTCAGCTGCCGCCCATCAGCTTAGGCGTGTCGATTGTCTACCAGACAAGCGGGTTGATCAAAGACGGTTTGTTCAGTGATCTTTTAAAAGAACCTTCTTGTATCATACCACCTTCTGACACCAAAAAAAAAAAGCTGCTCAAGCACAATTAACCCTTGAGCGGCCGTTTATAGAGCGAGAATACAATTCTTGTCTGGAACATTCGCACCAAAGAGTGATGTTTCAGTGCAGGTTTTAAAGAGTAAAACATTTCTGGCAAATTTAGAGAGATTTGGAGATGCTGGTGACACCAAAAGTTCAAAACCCCACAGCTCTGGAACTGTTGTAGCTAGAGGTCTGAAATATTCTGATGTAGAACAAATGTAATACATTGAGACATGCCTATTCTCAAGCATGTCTTTATTGCTGCTGTTCAAATAAGACCTATTATGTACAAGAAGAAGAAAAACAACTTTAAGTCTTGTTTGAACTGATTCAGCTTAGGCTGTGTTGTACTCACACTACTTTCATATATTTTCAGAAACCAGAAGGTGTTAGCTTTTAAATTATGAATCACGCTTGTCATTTTGGCTTACAGTTCCTCATTTATTTGCTTTTCCATTTCGGTATAGACGAGGATTACTTCAAATTAGGTGGGGTTTTGTTTTGTTTTTACAGCAGTAGCGGCTCATTTTTTGGACAGTAGGCTCACTGGTGTCAGAATTTTTAAATGAGAGTCGATAAAATGAGTCATACAGGGGTGACCCACGTATGGAGGCCTTGGTCCTTGACGCGAGCAACCTGGCTTCGAATCCAGCCTGTGGTCATTTCCTGGAGGTCAGCCTACTGTGCATAAAAACGAGCCGCTAGTGCCAATAAACCCCCTCTCCAAAAAAAAAGTCATACATTTTCCAAATTATCAACTCATCCTTACATGTGTTTACAGATGTTCTAAAGTATCTTACAGAATGCAAGTTTAGAAGCTATGAATACAAGTCTCAAAAAGTGCCACTGAAGAGGGTCCATGAGTAAGACCTTTAGCCTCAGCACTGCACAGATGCAGCCAATTGATCTCTAAGGAATAGGATAAATGCAGCAGGCTAATACTGTCGTGATGTAGAGAGTGGCGTTGATGAATAGAATTAAAATCTGAAGGACTCTTTAGGCAAACCTATGAAGACTCTGTTGCAGTAATTAATTTGACTAAAGATAAATGCTTAGTCCTCGACGCAGCCGACCAGTGCATATGATTTTATTGACAGTTCTATAATCAGTTATGCGTTACTCTAACCACAGTGCCATCACTCCTCAAGCTATTAAAGGAATAGTACACCCAAAACATGATTAGCCTTCATTTTCTACTCACCCCCATGCTGAACAACACTCTGGAGTACTTTTTTGATATCTCAAATGCATCTGGAGATCTGGGAGGCTTCTTGCTGTCTGCTGACATTCAAATAATGGAGGTCTATGGTGACCGAGGCAGAAAGGTCCATAAAAGTCCACTAAAAACGTGTCAATATTCCTCCATACTGCTCGTCCAATGTATTCCAAGTGTCCTGAGTGGGTAGCGTCCATAATTTACTCGAAATGAAGTCATTTAGAATGTTTTTAGAGCATAAACAGTAGTGTATAGGATTTCCTAAAAGCGAGTTCACGAGTCTACAGAAAACGCGGCAGACCAAACCAGATGAAAGTGCGCATTCAGCTCGGCAAAGAACTCATGCTCTTCCTCAACACTGAAGTCCTCAGACATTTTTCTTTCGTTGTTTCTTTCTTTGCACAGGTAAACAGCACATTTCTTCTTCTACGCTTGCATTATCGGCAGAGCAGACGCTGAATGCGCACTTTCATCTGGTTTGGCCTGCCGCAGTTTCCGTAGACTCGTGAACGCGCTTTTAGGAAATCCTATACACTACTGTTTATGCTCTAAAAACATTCTAAATGACTTCATTTCGAGTAAATTATGGACGCTACCCACTCAGGACACTTGGAATACCTTGGACGAGCAGTATGGAGGAATATTGACACGTTTTTTGTGGACTTTTGTGGACCTTTCTGCCTCGGGCACCATAGACCTCCATTATTTGAATGTCAGCAGACAGCAAGAAGCCTCCCAGATCTCCAGATGCATTTGAGATATCAAAAAAGTACTCCAGAGTGTTGTTCAACATGGGGGTGAGTAGAAAATGAAGGCTAATCATGTTTTGGGTGTACTATTCCTTTAACATTGAGAGGAATATTAAAATTTCTAAAGGAATCCAACTGTAGTTTTATAAAACTTTAGCCAGGGTCTGTCATCTTCCACTGCCTGCCTTTGATTTTAGAACAAAAAGCTTAGTTTCCTCCAAAGTCTGATCCTAAATACGTCTATTCGGTTTTGTAGTGATCAGAGATGGGGTCAGCCTGGACGCTCTGACCAAACCTACTGCTGTCAAAGATGCATCTGTGTTGTTTTATTTATTGTCTGTGAATAATGTTTTTTTCTTTCTTCTCCACAGGCTCCAATCAGCCACCACGCTTCCTGAACTACTTTTTTTCAACATATCTCCTCATATATGAAGACATGCCCATTGGTGAGTCAGTCAAGTGTAAACACGTTGCATTAGAAGTGTGAATGAGGTCTAAAAAAGTGCAGCTTTTTCTGCGGCATATAGAAGGAAAAAAAGCAACAGCAGATGTTATGAAAAAACTGAGAGGGTTTATTCATTTTGTGCAATTATTTATAGTAATTAGGGAATCTAGAGTTTAAACATCTGACAGGAAATGAGAGAAATTCACATTTTAAAGTAAAGTTTAAATGCCATACTTGAATTCTTTGAGTCTATAACATCCAACATCTTCTGTTTTTTGTGGTTTCTCTAAAAATGAATGACAAGGTTATGTTCAAATTCTCGTAGAGCTGTTGTTCTTACACTTACTGTATATTTTTTGGTTGCAGTGATTGGCAGGACAATTTTAAGATGTCTGTTTTATTATCTTCTCTTAGAGGCTTAGAATTAAAATCCTCTTTATGGGATTGATTTTCTGAAGGTTTCATCACATGAACTTTACTCTCCTCCAGTCTGTCAACACTCCATGTGTGAGTCCTGGATTATTCTCTTATTCTGGCATCCTAGGGATTGTTTACCATGAGGGGGGAACATGTTCCAGCCTTTCCCCTCTCCTTCCAAGTTTTGTCCTCTACAGCATTTTTCATACGTTTACCATCATACTTAAGTAAAAATTTCAGCTGCAAACTGGGATGAATTATGAAGGAATGAATGTAAAAGTTGGAAAAAAAATTGCTTAGTGTGATTGCATATGTATAAAAGAAATTTGTATTAACTCAGTTTTTCTGAAAAGATAGTTCAATGAATCAAAACTAATGTAAGAACACATAAATTCTAATAATAGTTCCTATTTTAAGGAAAAATCCGGTCACCAAGGACTAACCAACGGGTCATTATTTATACCTAAAAGTTTGCAGTGATTTATTGAATTTAGCATTAGTAAGTAAAAACATAAAAACTATAATTTTCGTCACAATCACTGAGTCTGGGAGCGGCCATCTTTGCCCAAATATAGTAACCCCTCCCTCCTGCCATCTTCCAGCAGTGACGTCACTGTGCGGTAAGCCTAGCGCCATTCTCCCCGCTTTACAAGCAAAATCAATGGGAACTACTAGACCAGGAGTGTCAAACTGGTTCCAGAAAGGGCCGTGTGGCTGCGGTTTTTCTTACCAACCAAGCAATAGCAAACCAGACTCCAGTCATCTTATCAAGTGTGTCCAATCTGAACATGATGACTTGATGAGATGACTGGAGTCTGGTGTGCTATTGCTTGGTTGGAAAGAAACCCTGCAGCCACACGGCCCTTTCTGGAACCAGTTTGACACTCCTGTACTAGACACATCTGCAATCAACAACAATTATTGAAGATTTCCAGAGGACTTCACCATTGAAATTCACCAGAGCTATAGTGAAGCTGACAATGCCCACGTGCATGGCAGCTGGGTGCTGGAATACATCGGGTAAAAGTGGAAAAAAAGAGTTATTCCACCTTTCTGATTCCTGATCCTCTACGGACGGGTTGGTCGTTGGATCGCCAACTTGAAGAGGGAGGATTTGCCATCGAACTTCTGGCCAGAGAAAAAAACATGATCAATCAGTTACTCTCTGCTTCACATAGTACACTGGTCATCGCCATCATGGAAAATAGTGCATTGAGACAAACATCAGATACAGTATTGGGACTTGATCAACAGCCGATAGGTGGCAGTAGTGTTCTTTGACAAATATGGATGCATCCAGTAAAGCACATTCAAATGAAAGTTATAATTGCTAAAATCACTTATTTATTGAAAAGTACGTAATAATTTCATACTTAAAGTACTCTGAATGTGACCAAACTTTTCCTTTAATAATGATTAAAGCTGTTCACACTCCTGATCAAATTCTCTAAAGCATGGAAGATACCAAAGTCCTGCTGGGTTGTTTTAGTTTATAAGTAGAACTTCAAAATTCCACGGCCCTCTAGTGGCAATCAGAAGAAGGATTTTTTTTTTTTCTTTGAAGGTTTTAGGTTTAGCTTTACAAGTAAATCCTGTCAGAGCTGAGGTGTTTTACTGCATCACAGTTCAACTTACAGTATAACATTCATTTTAAATTTCTTCAAAAAATCCTCAAGTGGTCAGGACAGAAAAAGGAATCATCTGTCCTGAGTTGGAGGATCTGACACTGTCATGATCTTGGCACTTATGACTGGTTTAATTGCTCATTCCAATCAACTGTCTAACTCTGCCTGGTTAGTCATTACCTCTTAATTGATCCACCATCTCCTGCCCCTACCCCGGAGAGTGTTTTTAGAGTTCCTTGGTGTTTCTGATTTCATGATTCTGACCTGTTCTGCCTCTCAACCACTGGGCCTGCCTGTTCCCATCTGATCTGTTTGCCTGAACTGTCTTTGGACTCCTGGACCTCTGATCCTTCCTGTTCCTGTTTGATCTTTTTGCCGGACTTGCCTCAGAATCCTGCCTGTTCTCCGGGTTTAAAGCATATGGGACACTCTGGGCGGTGCCCGCTGCATCTTGTTGGCAGCCCACCGGCTGGATCCTACCTCATTCTCTGGGCATTGACTGAACTTGAAAACCAGATGTTCTTGCCGCAGATGCCCTAACCGCTGCTACCCCTGCCTGGTTATTTAATTATGTTATTTTTGAGTTATCCTACTATCTCTCTGGTCTTGAGTACTGGGTCCTTCTGTTCTGAGTCTTGATAGACACGGGGATATCCTCATCCCATGTGAAAGCCCTGAATGACTTCTTACTGCAACACAACAATAAAAGGTGTCTGATCCGTACTTCCGTTTAGCCGAATAGTCCTGACAACTTATAACTTTGCTGGCATGATGGAGATTTCTTCTTTGAGACACAGTGAAGAAGCTTTATCATGATCTTTCTGAGCAACAATGGCTTAACTGTTCAGTCAGTAGAGTTGATACAGGAGCTGCTTCTTTTAACTGGGACTCCTCATCTATGCGATGCTGACAAGCTCTCTCAACAGTACAGCATTACAGTTCACAACATCACAACGACAGCTGCAGGGGAATAACATCAATGTAATAAAGCTCAGTGAAAATATAAGGTGATGAATAGTAGAGGAACTTGTTTGAATGATTATCACCACATGATGCCAACTGGAATAAAAACTCATCAAGAATTTTCAATCAATTGTCGTTTTTAAACAATAAGATCATTCTGGATGCAGCGCTCTCTGCTAACCAAAGGATGTGGCTGTGTTTCCCCGACCAATATGCTTGGACTGCCCTCAGGCCATGAATTACTGCTCTCTTGCAATGCATTTGGGCCTCCGTCCAGCACTACCTTCCACTAGCACATTTAGCTGTCAGTCATGTCCTTGGCCTGCTCAGTAATGGCTTCCAGTGGTGATGTGACTCTGAGGGTAGATACAGTGATCAGACGGTGACAATTTATCAAGATTATTGTTTATTAGCTTAGCAGATGTCCCATCATGGTGGTCCTTCAGTTCAAACACATACACAAGCAAGTTCACACATAAATGTTTTTCTTTTTAATTGAAGATGATAAAGAAATGTTTATTTTTGTACAGTTTCACTAAAATTAAAATGCATTTTGTCATGGAGACGAAACGGCACTACCATGCATGATGATCAGGTTTCAGCAAATGCTCACATTAAGTTACCTCAGTGCTCATTCATTGAAGTAATTGTGGTGATCTAGTAACATCTGGTTCCTGTGAGCAGTTTGTGACATGATACCAGACGGCTGCTTGTCCGGCAGCTAGCTGACTGACGCATGCACAAAGGGACCATTGATACGGTCGTGCAGAGATGAGGGTAAAATTGATCTAGCACACGTTTCACACTCTAGCAGCGCTGTTACAGCCTGCCCAGAGAGCATGTCTGTAACATCAGTGCATGACCTTTTTACAAGCAGACTCAGCACTACGTGGCATGCATGATTACAGCCTCCGGTTTTCCCATTGATAGAAACATAGATCTAATCACAGTTGGTTGCAATGAGACTATAAGTGAATCTTCTTCCATTTTAGATGCAGCAGGTAAAGAAAGATCATGTAAAACATAATTGACAGAAGGCTCCAGCTCAATGTGAATTCACACTTCTGACATGTGCTGAGTTATGTTCAGTCCTACCTTCATTGTTTGTTATAGAAGGGGGGAAATATTCTGAGATTGATGTCTGGACGAAGCAAAACCAAAGAGATTGACGATGGTTGTTGTGTTTGTAGAAGTTTTGTAAAATGTCCTGGGTTTTGAATTTCGATTGCTGTGTGTGGTTCGTCTCAGGAAGATGAAACATGTAATTAGACAGAGACAACAGTTTGATTAAACACATCTTATAACCCACTTTGCCCTGGTTCTGCAGATTAAGCCTCCTGCTGAGTAATTAACTCACTCTATGGAAAACCTAATTGTTGGAAATATGAAAGTTACACTACTTGCAGGAAGTTTTTGCCAATGTGTCATCAGGGCACACTTAACTTAAGGTTTGGATGTGCTTATTGACTTTATATTTATTCAGAGGCATGTTTTTTAATAGGAGACATTAATTTGTTTGGAATAAATTATTTTATGCTCTCAAAGTTACTTGTTTTCACTGAGAGAGTGAGAGTTCTCTGCCGACTGAGAACCAGCAGAGGGGAAGTTTACCTTAATTAGTTTATTGAATTTATGATCTATTTTTATAAAACCCCTATGAGCAATGACCCGGTGTCACATACTAAAACATGGATTTTAATAACGTGGCATTCTACATTAAAAAGGTAGTTGCTTTCTCCCTGTTTTTTCATTCATAAAACAATCAAGTAGGAAACAACATAAACAGTGAACAAATATCTAAAGTTTGGACAGTTTTTGACCAGACAAAGCATTAAGAGGTTTATTCTTAGAGTTATTTAGTGAAGTAATTTTAAGATTGTCATGAAATAAAATGGCTATTTTATTGTTTATACAAAATTGTGGTGTGGCCATAGCTAATATAGCTGGTGTCATTGTTTCATGCTCTAAGCCTCGTCTACCTACTCTAGCTTCTGTAACGGGAACTG